ATATTAGCGCCTACAAGACTGCATGAATACTTCTCGCATTGCGCCAAACGCAGTGCAGTCGGTATCAGGAAAATTCGCGAAATCCTAAGCATCTCCAAAAAGGTAAATCCTTAGCATGCAGGTCTTCAAAATACAAAATGAGTCACTGATCATGATCAAGCATCATATTAGGCTATTTTTAGTGTTGAATTTTATGGATATCTTTTGCCATTCCCTATTAAATTGCCTGGGCAGGAAGTGCAGGATCTCCAAAATATATTATCTTCAAGAGCACCAGAGGAACACTGTCATGCTAAGGAAAAACGTCGTATGAACATTTGAGAGTTGCCAAATTTCCTCCGATGAAATGTTTATTTTCCAGAAAAGTTATGCATGTTTTTCCTAGAAATTTTCAGGTCGGGAATAAATGGAGAATTTGCAGGTGTCTGAAATTTGATGAATTTCGTGTTTAAGTGGAAACTACTGAGTGAACTGAACACGAGAACACCCTTGGTTCATGAATTGAACGATTATTAGAGAAGATATGAGAAAATTATCAAATCTTCTAAAATACATGTGTTTAAATGGGGAATGCCGCCTGATGACGTCACTAGGCAGTGCATTTTCTCACTTTTAAATCTATTTTTATACGATTTCCCATATCAGAAAAAAATTATGAAAAATACTGTAAAATCAGCTCTTAAAGCACTTTCAGATGAAGCAATAAAAAATTTTCATGCAAATTCTCCATTGCGAGGAAAATTATCTGAAAAATTGGAAGGAAAATATTCATAAGTTTACCGTGAAATTCGTGTTTTATCATAGGAAATTTGGCGACGCTTGAAGTTTCATACGACGTTTTTCCTCATCACGGCAGAACAGGAGAAGGTACAAGATGTCCTTACTAGTACCTTCGTTTATAAGCTCAGAACGAAGAGGACACTTTTCCAGATCAATTATTGGCGTCTCCCCTTTCTTAGTGCACTGCCTTTGTCTTACCAGAGGCTGTATTAAAGAGACACTGAGCTCTCTCAAGGGCTGAATCGCCTTGAAAGAAGGTTTATGGTGTCGTGTCGACGCTCTCCACAACTCCCATGCAGCAGCTGGTTTTGAGACGAAGTTCGGAAACCACAAAGCCATGGCACTCTCCCTCCCTCGATTTTCCCTCTCGGTCCATTAACGGATTGTAACAATCGAAACCGCGCTCTCACATCGGTGCCATTTTCCAGGCTCCTTTGGAGTACTTACATTAGCCGCCAGAATTAGATGAGAACTGTATCACTTAATCATTAAGTTATTTTTTGCTCAAAATCGCAAATGATCCTGACCAACTTACTTGCTTAGTTTTCCTGTGGACCAACTTCATTAAAAATGCACCAAGTAACATCAAGTTTGAACTTAGAGGAATAAGTATGAATTTCAATTCTACCATAAGATTCAATGTCAAGAATAAGGTTGACTCATAAGAGGATAGGATTTCCTTTGCTTAGTGAAAAGTGAAAAACTGACAAAACGACTCATTTATCTCTTCTATATTTTCTTTGACTAAATTTTGCCACAAAAAATGGGAAGACGAACTTATCATCTTCTGCCTGGTTGATTCGCGGGAGGTAAGCAAGACGGTGATCCAAGTCCTCTTCCGCAATTCTAAAACATTAATTATATATAATTAGTAAACGCCTATTTGTATGACCCATCATTTGTAAGAATTAATGCTCGTGAGAATTTTGAGGTGACATCTCATAAAGCTACGATGAAAGCTGCTCATGAACATGTATCTAACTTCAGTTTGGCAGGTAGTTACTTAATAAAAACAAATTTAAAATCACGTCATGAAGTCCATATTTTTGAATTTTAAGAACTGAATCAATTTTTTTTATCAACAGTGTGCGATCTTACTACATTACATAAAACACTGGCGAGAGGAGCTATTTCTCATTTCTTCTTCATTGTGAATTTAATAAATAGTGCTGAGCATGCGCACGTGTTTTCTTACAGTGAAAAGAAAAATACTATACACACAGGCAGTAGGTGGCACAGTGTCAACTAACTATGTGTAAGATAGAAAAGTATAAAGCCTTACGGTTTAGTTCTTAAATCCTAGTGTTGGGGTTGAAGATAAGTTTACACGATCTGCTGGATTTTCGCGGAGAACCCGAACAGTCTCTACGAAATAAAAACACTGAGATGTTATTTTTAAGAGTTTAGCTTACCGCCTCTACCCTCCTGGCCAGTTTTCTTCCTGCATACGACTGTCCATTTTCCATCACTACTCCATCAGCAGTAAGAATTCCAATAAGGAAAATCTGAAAATTGAAATGGTGAAAATACCAATCTTTTTTTTTTAAATTAAAATACAAAGGATTCTTGTCGAATTGATAAGCGGTGAAGACAAAAATCAGCTGATGTCAAAATTTTCGGTTTAAAAAAACGATAAGGAAGGAAAGAAATTTAAAAAAAATTACCAGAAAAATAGGGAAATGAATCAGATCCTGGAGCTTCATGAGCGGCTAGTTAGTTCAGAAATCGTTTCTCTCGACTAACCCAGTATTTCATTTGTGGTCCAGAGGAAAATGATTCGCAGTGTTTAAATAGGTGACATTGATTAAGTCTCTTCACACGCCACAGAATGTATACGCTCACTTGAAACAACCGATAAATTCGGGTGAAAATTGTAAATAACTTTCTTTGTGTATTTTAGAAACTGTGATGCCGGTTTTTTTATTAATATCTCATTTCGGCGGTGTAAGCCCACAATCACATATCCCGTTTGCGGTGTCTGAAAATCTCGGCCTCTATTTTATTTTTTTAAAGGAAAACAAATTGACATCGTTCCTTGAATTTTATTCACACAGAGAAGAAAAATCACGGCAGTTTTAAAGAATTGTCGTCGAGAGGTTTCCCGTTTAAAAAATTAAGTATGACAGCAGGTCTACGACGGCGACGTCGCAAACCGAGTTATGTGATTGCCGACTTACACCGTCGATTTTCAATGTAAATTGTCACGCGGATAGCAGCATTTTTACCTATAAGTAAGTGCTAATGCTATTGATTTTTCAAAAATTCCTCTCTCGTTGCCGAAAGTATGCAACAGATTTTTCATTATTTGCATGACAAGATTCGGGAATGAACTATTAATGCTGAAAGCTAGGTCAGTGTTGGAGTTTCAGTGAAGGCTTTTCGGTAAAAATCAACTAGCATTCACTTTATGTAAACACCAGACGGTGCCTGACCCTATTCTTTCTCGGCTTCTTGAATTCACCAGTCAAATATTCCCAGCTGTACAATTGATTGACTGCATTTTCCAAATGGTCAGGGTCAATTACTCACGTTTCTAGGTGAAGCAATCTATACCATAAGTCCTAAATATGCATAACTGGTAACGCCTAGTTCCAGCGTTCTACTGGGCCGATTTTCATGATTTTTGCGGTTATCAATAATTGTCTCTATAGATGAGCCCGCTACATTCAAATTTTGAAAATAGGACCCAGGTTTTTTTTTATATTACGTGTTAAAGTTGCAAATTCTCCCATTTAAACATGTAAATTTGTATTTTTTGTCAGAGTTCGTTTGCGCGATCTACTGGGCCGATTGCCATGATGTCTAAGATCACGACAGGTGATTGTCCCTAAATGAGCCCGCTGTAATCAGATTTTGGAAATAGCACCCAGGTTTTTTTTTAATATATAAGAGTAGATCAGGGAGCTGAGAAACTAACAGCTACTCAACAGTATATGACCCCCCTTTAAGAGTATTTGGACCCTTTGTGTCCACAATAACATTTTTTTTAGCTACGCTTCATCAAACGTAAAATAGTGATTGATTTAAAAAAAAAATTAACGAGATTAAAGAAGTCAATACTATGCACGGATCAATAGATGCAAAATCCTGACTGACAACGCGGATGTTTGTCCATAGTTCCGTCTTCCTCAGCACCCCATTCCGCGTTTTCCTTGTGGTCACATACGGTTGCTGGTGCCTGTCCACTACACAGAGATATTTCTGCTAACAATGTCTGCTAAAATGTCTGTTTTATACCTCGTTATTTGAAATTTATTGACGATTTTGATACGTTCCACAGATTCTTCAACTCTAATTATCCGGAATAATTTTTTAAATAAGTCCAGAAACGAAATATCAACTAATACGATTTTGATACGTTCCACAGATTCTTCAACTCAAATTATCCGGAATATTTTTTTTAATAATCCCGAATATATCAACTAATACCATGCTCTATCTTAGCATGATAGTACGTGCAGGCGCTAAAAAGGTTCAAGAATGATACTGCCGTGTTCAGGAAGGACGCCATGCGAGCCTCCAGACGTTGCAAAATACTCTTTGATATAATTTGATTTTTCAGGGAAATCTGCAAATATTTTTTCTCCAATTTTTCAGAGGCTTTTATTCGCAATCAGATATAAATTACCTTAAAATTTCTAGAGAAAATATGCATGACTCTCTATTGAAACAAACATTTTACTGATGGAAATTCGACAACTCTCGTATGTTCATACGGCATTTTTCCCTAGCACGGTAGAATAGAACAGCAATGTAAAGTGTCGCTCAAAGCTTATATTGTTTTTATCCATCTCAATAGCACTTCTCCTCCCTCCTCTGATAGGTTTTTTTGATTGACCACACTCAACTTCATTATAAGTCTAAACTCTCACAAGAAATGATCAGCTTCGCAATAACACTCAAGAGGCTCTTCAAGTAGTTTTGTATGTTTTGACGTAGAACTGTGCCAATCAAATGACCCAGGAATCACTCGATATTATGAGATTGTGTTTCTAAGAATATACTTGATGCAGTTTTTCACGAATTAATACAATCGCTCCGTTTTCGAGGAGCACTTGTACACTGCCTCCATTGAACCCAACTATAGAATATGAGGTAACACAACCTTACAAAGTGATGCTACAAGAGCCCCAATAATTCGAAATTTCAAGAATCAATCCACGTAAAGAGAGGTAAACAAATAGATCATATAATATGAAGTATAAAAGATTCACTTCCAGATATAGTTACATTAATTCTGTTCTTTTCCTCTTGTGCCGCGGAGTTATTCATGCGGTCATATCTTCTTCGATATCTGTTTCTCTATCCTTTAAAATGATCTCCGGGTGTTTTTTCCCTATTTTCGCACTTTGCATGACTTTGATTTCAGCAGAATCAACAACGCATATGTCAGTTCCGTATCTCAGTGATGACTACATCAACCACATCAATTCAATTCAAAATTCGTGGACGGTAAGTTTATGGTTTGTCCTCTTTTTTTAGCATCGCCAAAGCAAAGGAAGCATCTTCCTTCCAGCAGTTTCTCGTTGCGATGGAAAAATTACTAGTTGGACGCATTTCTGCCAAACGGAGCTATGCACATTAAGACATGGGCCCTGAGACCCGTAAGAATATATGCATAACAGGGCTCACGTCACGATGCACATATTTTCGTTTGGCAGAAAAACGTCCAGTTGTTGCAATGAGAAGGAAATTATTTACATCAGGGGAAATTGTATAATGCACACGAAATTTTCCATGTTGTGATGAATTTGCCGTAATTGTGATAACTAGGCAAATTCCGCCTCAACCATGAAATGTTGATTAATGCTTACAATTAAAAGTTTACTTTCATTATTAATCGTTTATTTTTCACCGTGAGATACTTCCAAGGAAACTTTTTCTCTATGTTGTAATGAGTCGGAATTTTCTCAGTATCATCTATTTGCATTCAAAAAAGCTCTGTCCCAGTCTCAGATCGCAATTTATTATTGTGTGTAGAAACTAGAGAGGTGCAGTCGGAAGGCACCCAGTCAAACGGTTTTGACGACTCCTCCCTCGTCACCCTCCTGATGTATGGGCGTAACTACACTCTGCAATGAACCCTGTCGTCCATCCAACTCAATGCTTTTCCGGGCTCATCTCAATGTGTAGTTACGCCTTTATGTCAGCCAAGTAACGTCCTGACCAACAGCTTTTCATATTATTCCGTTAAAAGAAGTGGTCGCTGTTTGAACCCTTTGTCACGTATTTCCGCAGGGATTACGAGAAAAAATGTTGCAATGACATTCTCGAATGTAAGAAATCTGCATGAAAACTCTTGCATCGTCAACTTCCAACCGAGGTATCACAAGCGCCATGCGACGTTTCAAATTTCCCGCACCATTTTATTTTTTTACAGAGAAATTTTTGCTTGAATCTGTTTGAAAATTACACTGAATTTTATCGGTAGCACAAAGGAAATTTAGTGAAATTTTCGGACAGCTTCGATTAACAATTTCTCTGTAAAATCATAAAAAGACGGCGATAATTATGAAACGTCGTCGCATGGCGCTTGTGATACTTTGACCGGGAGTTGACGACATATCGACATGCATGGACTGGTTATTAATGTATCTTATTGCAACATTTAAAACTGACAGCAAGGACATTCAAACAATCATTTAAGAGTTGCACACAGATTTTCAAGACTTCAGGATGATACTTCAATATTAATTTTCCTTTCATAATGTCTACTATCCAAATTATTTTACATGAAGTACGGGGGTGCCAACCTGCCAACTCCTTTAAGAGCTTCACAAGGATAGCTAAGGCACTACGGCGGTAAGGCGTCCTAGAGTGTCATAGGACGCTGCGAAAGAAATGTATGTACTTACGTATGTGTGTTAAGTGGGTATATTTACTTTCTATATTTCCTAAAATACTTGGTCCAATCGAGAAACGTTGCTAATCTAAATGGACCACTAGACAACATACGAAGCTTGCATACAACGAACAAACATACAACATACGAATTTAAGCATTCTGATACATTTTTTGAATCAAAATTGCGCATAAAACACGATTCTTGCATTGAAAATTACTGAAATCAACTTCTATTTAAGATATTAACGTTTTCATTAAACATTGGCTATGCGGAAATTTTGGATTACCGGGTCACAAGAATTCTCTACGTGAGTCAAATCGCGTCTCACAACAATTTTGGGAGGCTTCTCAATCGAGCATTGTTCCTCTCCCACCCTCCATCGTTCAAACTGTAAACAAGTTGCTATAGCTGAGCCTAAGCGTCAATATCAAGATTGAGGTTGCCAGAGTTTCATATTGCACAGATTGTCATGGTAAAGTTTAGTGTGCGATTTGACTCACGTAGACTATTGTGTTTTCATGAGCGGGAGATTTGAGTTAACGCGTCCAGAAACATTGAATAGCTTAGTTAGGAGTTAATTTCAGTAACTTTCGTTGGGAAAATTGTGTTTTACATGAAATATTGGTCAGGAAACATGTATCAGAATGCTTAACTTCGTACCTTGTCTAGCGGTCCATTCTGACCATTCTGTCCCTTCTGTCTATTGTGTCCCTTCTGTCCATTCTGTCCATTCTGTCCATTCTGTCGATCCTGTCCATTCTGTCGATTCTGTCCATTGTGCACTGAAAAATACAGTTACGTAGCTAGAGTCTACACTGATTGGAAAATCCAAGGTATGAGCTGCTCGTACATACGGTCTGGCTTCCACGACTAGAGCAGAGACACACAACATGTAACACACACATGTAAACATGTCGTGTATGGAAAAGCATGTGTATGAACTTACCATTTATACGGTATAGACGCTGGGTCCAGGGGTACATACTCTTCGTATGTAATATTTGTTCATACTAAAATAGACTTTATCTCTATTCCTAGGTCGGTATCAAATTTTTCACAGTCTGTATGTGGCCCCGTCTCATAATTTATGCAGCGTGAGTACATAAACTGTTTTCAGTGTGTCCATTCTGTCTATCTATCCACTGTCAAAGACGCAGTTGAACCCACTACGAGTAACCAGAAATTGTTCTTTCAGGCGGGTAGAAATTTTGAGGACTCTCCCGAGAGTGTCAAAAGAATTAAAGCGATGCTCGGTGAGCTGCCTATGGGCAATCTGAGCGAATCTCTTGCTCTGCCGGTCAAAACTGAAGATCCTGAGTGGCCGTCGGATGACGATGTGCCGGCTACCTTCGACGCGCGGGTGCACTGGAAGAAATCGTGCCCGAGGATTTCAGAAATTTGGGATCAAGGCAACTGCGGCTCGTGCTGGGTAAGTTAAGCCGGAGAAAACATTCCATAGATTCACGCCAAAAACAGTCGGTGCTCATGGCAGAACCTTCGCTTCACACGGCTCGGGCTCCTCCACTTGCTTCGTTATACTTACGGAACTTTTCTGTTGTAAGAACAGAACTTTGGTCGTAACGGAAGCCTCTGTACCTGTAACAAAGAGAGTGCTGTAGGCTGATTATTGAAATTGATAGACAAAGCGATAGACAAAGAGAACATAGATAGTATGGAGAGATCCTATTGGTTGAAATGGGTGGTTCCCATAGACCAAAGGAGAAAATGATGGACTAACTGTAGCGTCTCTCGTCGGTTGCCTTTAGTTAGTCTATTACCTTTGCCTTCTTTGTCCATTGCAACCACCCGCTTCCACCAATAGGATCCCTCCCTGTCTCTTTTGTCCTATAATCGGCCCCCAGAAGCCCTGTGAGAGGAACAAATTGTTTCAGTGTTGATAATGAGAGAGCCGTTGACGAATCTTACTTTCAACGAACATTGTCTCAACAATAAGTTTTAAACGTTTGAATGAGTGAAGATCCTGTGCAGATGAAAGCCCGTTTCCTCATTTTCCATATTTTTTTATTATTCTCTCTATGCAAATGAAAAAAAACCTCTCATGATGGTATTTATATACCTTTGTTGGTTCAAAGACCGATAATCACTAGTTCATTCATCGGTATTTTTGGTGCTTAATGTATATCGACGGTGAATCTGCGAGAGTGCGTACATCGCTTGTGGTGTGTAAAATATCCACATCTATTTTAGTTTTTCAGGAGACACCAAACCAACATCTTGGCTTGTGATTTTCATAGAATGATCTTCATACAGAGAAGAAAAATTACCGAAGTTCTCAAGAAATGTCGTCGAATAGCTCTCTATATATTTGATTCGAGCAGTTTGCAACGCCGCAAAACAAGATACGCATTTCTGCAGTTTCACGGTCGATAAGAACAATAGTATGGTTTGTAAACAGAAGGTTCTTCCCAGTGCGGAGCCTCATTGGCATGATTGAATTCCAGATGAGAAGTAATTTCATCCACTCCTTCGTCAATTTTGCAGGCAGTTGCTGGTAGCTCAGCAGTCACAGATCGTTACTGCATCAGCTCGAAAGGCAAGTTTCAAGATCGGATGTCGACTCAGCACCTCTTCTGTTGTTCCAAATGTGGAGAGGGATGCATGGGAGGGTACGTAATTGAGTTAATGTATGATGCGGAAAGAACTTAACTGACACCAGATTCATTTTGGAAGATCGACGTGAAAAGTTGTAATTTTCATTAACTCAACAGCAGAATCCATTTTCAATACAATGTCACAGAGTTGAATTTTATAGTTTCATTTTGCAGTTTCTAATGAGAGATAATTTTATACAGTTTTATTCTGAATGCCAGTTTGTGTTCGACGTCATGACCAAACAGCTCATCTGTTGCAGTCATGTCAATATGATGACGGAAGAGAGGCTGTTGGACGTATTTATGCGAAAAGGAATTATGTGCATAGGGTTTACGTGCAACATAGTTTCTTTTAGCATAAATACGTCCATTTTATTTGAATACGTTTATTAAACCGGGACACATCTCTCGTGCGAAGTTACAAGACTAGCATACCCCGCCGCTTTTTTCTCAGATCCCGGCCACCACCATGTAGGACTCAGGTTTTTCATCGTTTTTTTTTAAAATTTTATTGTAATATTTCCGACTAAAAATTACTCAGTTTTAAGTCGAAACGTCTCGGTTTCTTTTAATTTGTAAGTTTCCCGTTCCCTCCCCCTTGTTTTTCTACTGATACCCCGCTGCTGAGTATGTTATCCTGGAATCCGTTCATTTTCCCAACCTTATGTTTTTTGTGTTAATAATACTTTGCCAGAGTTAATACAATCATGAAAGTGGTGCAAGCACTCGTTTTGGCATTGTGATAACCCTGAAACGCGTATTAACACGACTTTCATAGTTGCATATATATCTTTGGAAAAATGTATCAACCCAAATAAACTCAAGATTGTAAAAATGGACACTATAGCGGTTTCAGCACGACACCATTCAATGAGGCAGCCTATAAGCAAGGTGGGATGAAACTTGACCATCACCGCACTTGAAATTACTGTTTTATTTACAGATATTCTGCCTTGACTTGGGAATTTTTCAAGAAAGGTCTGGTCACGGGCGGCGGATTTGATTCAAAGGAAGGTTGCCAGCCCTACGAATTCCAGCCCTGCAACCACTTTGAAAATAACAGTCCACTTCCCAAGTGCTCCAACCTTCCTGTCCCGATAGGTCGTTGCAAACAGAAGTGCACCAACAAAGGCTACGAATTACCCTTCAAGAAAGCCAAGAGGAGAAGTGAGTACTTGTTCCTAAAAAATCTGATGGAAAAATTATTCCTGATTCAGGTGTATAAATAGAAGTATGAGTAGTTTTCCGACCCACGCTTGGCAAGTTGTGGTTTTAATTTGCAATTTTTGTCTCTTAATAAAAGATAATATTTGAATTTTGACTGACAGTTCTACAACAGAATATAATTTGCTTCGTTCTGCCACATATGAAAGCATGAACTTGGCAAAACGGGATTAGATGTAGATATGTCCGTTCGTATTGCAGAACACAGCCCGACTGATTTTTTACATTTAAAAATAGGATCTATCTTAACATATTTTGTCAACGTGAATGAATACAAAATTATTTTGAAAATCTATAAAATCACCTTGACTAGAACATAGGCGAATGTAGGGGAGGGGGGGGCGTAGGGGGCGATTTCGGGACTTACCGAATGGATTTAATCCAAATATCATACTAATCTCAATATAGTTAAAGAAACGCCTGAGATAGACGTTCAAATAAGGAAAAGAGTCCTTTCTCAATTTGTTACATGTATTACATTTAAAATTGTAAAACATGTATTAAATTTTAGTTGCACCTACATGGCTTGATTGTTTATCCCCCCCCCCTCGGAAAAACAACGCTATTACATATTTAAAAGTGTCCAGATTACGTACGTTTATTTGGAGGAGGCGCACGGTTGAGTCAATGTAAATGCGATATTAGAGATGATCATCGAATACTGGTTATCCCCCTGAAACTTATATTTCTTCTAAGAGCAGTATTCTCTAAATTCAGAAGTTACAGCTGTTTTACAAATATTCAACTAATCTGAAAATGCATTTCTCGTGTTTTTAGCAAAGAACAACTACACTTTAAAAACCATCAAAGACATCCAAAAAGACATAATGACTCACGGACCGGTCACGATGGCTTTTGTTGTGTATGAAGATTTCTTAAGCTACAAATCAGGTAGGACTCAGTGTTTACAATTCAGTTATTTGCAAAATCAGTCTCATCAAACATGTAGAAGTTTTCGCAAATATTATCACACATCATGCTGATTTTGAGAAGAGATAAGATTTTCAGAATAATTATCCTAGCCTGCTGTGAGATAGAGATTCAGTCTCGTGAATCGTGCGTTTAGTGTTCAATATTGTCTGACATATTCGGTTTGTCATGCGAGACTTTCAGTTCTCAGAACCGAACGTTCGGTCCATGTAATGTAGCTTTCTCTTTTAAAAAGAGAAAAGGTCCCATATTAAATAAGTCGATCAGTGTGACAAATCGATGATGAAACTGCAGAAGTGCGTATCTCGGAAAACACGATTTTCCAGGAGAGCGGAAAAACTGTTTACATTCCTCCTTATTATAGTAAAAGGGAAATAATTCTTGAGAGTAGCAGAATAAGGTGCTTTTTCGGACTCCACCATCATTTTAAATAATTTTTCGAATTGTTAAAAAATACGACAGAAATACAGAGATTCGCCTTTGCCGCACCAAGAATGGACACTCAATCATAAGATACGCATTTAAGCAATAGAAATTAAAACCTGTTGTTAACGGATTTTGATCATTTAAAGAGTTTTATGCTTAAAATTCTTTATCTTGAACTTTAATTTGATCTCATATGGTTGATCAGGCAATGAATGATTTGAAATAATGGCACTTGATCACAAGATTCGCACTTCTGCGGTGGGTCTGTTAACTGCTTCACGCAAAAGATACGGCTAAAGATTTTGCACTAAAAAATGGATTGCTAATTTAAAAATTAAATTGTTAAAAAGTGTGTCTAACATGTTTCAAATGTACATTTTACAATTGTGGAAAGCTAATCTAAACACGGGGGTGGTAAAATTAGCATTTTTTAATTGTAAAATCTACATTGAAACATGTCGGACACTTTTTTAACTAAGAAATTGTTGAATCAGCAATATCATTTTTTTCTGTGCATATTTAGACCTTGTAAACATGGATACAACTTGAATACTCATATTGATGGAGATGGACTCGAATACTAGTCCGCATCAACCACGAACCACGAGTAAAGAACCACGTAATGGCATTTGATTATAGTTCCTAATAATTCCGTATGATTGCAGGCGTGTACGAGAGACTGAGTATGGAGGGACTTGGAAGACATGCTGTCAGGGTAATCGGGTGGGGAACGGAGCGCGGTCTGCCGTACTGGCTCATCTTGAATTCATGGAACGAATACTGGGGGGACAATGGACAAGTGAAGGTCTTGAGAGGATCAAACCATTGCGAGATTGAAAGCAACGTCAACGGTGGAGTGCCTAGACGCTACAAATAAACTCTGGTTTGAAGCCGTTTTTTGAAAGAGCAACTGGAAACTCCGACTTCATCGATGATACTGACAGTGAAGAGGGGGGGCATGGTGGCATGTTCCCGCCCCTAGGGGGCTCGGACCCCCCTCACTCCTGGGAGTGTCCCCCCTGAACTCCCCCACTCGACATCAACAAGTGCCCCCCTCCGGTCACTCCGGATCTGCCATTGTATACTGAGGATTGTGGGACCCGTGGACTCGATTGTAATTCACTTACAATGATGAGTGATTGATGTTCACTACCTGAGGCGTCGATGCCTCAATTTTCAGATAAAATTCTACATCCGCAAAATTCCGAAAGTAAATAAAATGAGGCATTAAGTACAGGAGGGGAATCTTTTGGTTGCTTGCTCAGAATTTCCACCGATAATTTATATTTGAGAGAGGAACGAATGCAAGAATTGTCTACAATTTTTAGCTTTCAATATTGTAAAATCAAAGAGAAAATGCAGAATAAGTTGAAATTCTGAAATCATCAAAACACGATTATGTGACGAGCACTATAAACCTGTTCGAATTATTTATTTTTATGTTCAAATTTTTTTCTGTTCATTAAACACAATACAAATTGGTTTTTCCACAAGTTCATGTATAAAAATGAATGAAAACAATATAGATTACTTTTACTAACCTCAAAATATCTTAATTATTCATGATCATGATCTGATGGTAAAATTTGCTTATTTCTAATCTGAAATTCTGAAATCATGAAAACACAATTATGTGACGAGCGCAACTAACCTGTTTGAGTTATTGATTTTTACTTTCACATTTCAATAGATAGAGAAATGCTTGTGAGGTAGTGTCAAAATCGATAAATTAATGCGGCGTTAACGAGTATTAACATGCGCTCTGATATCGGCACCAGCGCGCATGCATCGAGAGCTCGGAGGCACTCTACCGTGCTAAAGAAAAACGCCGTATGAGCATTTGAATGTTGCCAAATTTTCGATCAGAAAATCTTTATTTTTGCAGAAATTTATGCATATTTTTCTTTGAAATTTTCAGACTTTTTAGATCCAATTACCTACGAACAAAATTCTCTGAAAAATCGGAGGAAAAATATTTACAATTATTCCTGAAAGTTTGCGATTCATCCAAAGAAATTTGGCAACGTCGGAGGGCTCATACGGCATTCTCTCTGAGCACGGCAGCAGTGGCACTCTGCGTTTACGGAATTATTTTTCACTGAGCTGAGTCGGAATATCGAATGGTCCTAATGATGCATGGTTTAACTGATAGTCGCCTAATAAAGCGCGCTAATTGAATTAATCTCCGAATTAATTTTGCAGCCAGTATCGAATTAGCAGGTGGCGGTATCGTAGTCTGTCCAAAGAGCAGTGACCGCCCTCTATTGGACAATTCTGCCGCCGAGAATTTATCCCGAGCACATGTGCAAAATGTGAGATTTCAGTTTCTCTTATGTTAAATCATTGTGTGTTTTCAAAAGGTGTGAGAAATGTGGAACTTTTGAAATGGACCTCGGTTAAAAAGCAAAAACACGGAGACAATGTTTGATATTGGTACAACTGCGTCAATTCAGCATGCATACAATTGGACTGCATTTTGCAATTTGGAGCTATAAATTCTTTCTCATCTGAAAAAACACTTACGCGCACAGGGAAACTAATTACACATACGTTGTTTTTAAACCGGGATAGAATTTATTGTTCAAAATTGCAAAATGTAGTCCAATTATGAGCCACTTGACAAGGTCTGAACAAGCGACCAATAAATTTCGCAGTTTCTAGTTCAAATTATCACACAAAAAACAATCTACAGCTTAGAAATCAACTCCTGTAAGAGATATTGATAGGTAGTTTTAACGCAGCTCAAAAGGAAATTAGATAATACTTATGACTTTATTCACACTTTTGATATTTAGTCATTGTTAATCGTAAACACGAATAGCTTGTTCTGGAGTTATTTTCCAGATTTCCTGTCTCCTTATTTATTTTTCTTGTGAAATTTTGAAGAAAAAACAAGTAACTAATGGTGTTAAAATGCATACATTATCTAGTGGCCCGTGTTTCACCCCTCATCCTCTCAAAGCTGATCTTGGCAAATATATTCTTCTTCTTCCTTCACTTCCTATTCTTTTCATTCCTCCTCTTCTCCTCCTCCTCCTCCTCCTCCTCCTCCTCCTCCTTTTTTTCTTTTTATTCTATAAAACACCTTTCAACCTCGGGAAAATCTAGGGTTTCAAAAATTAGTGTTCTATCAGTGATATATTATACACCCAGATTCTTCTTCCTTAACCTGCAAGACTTTAATTTGGTCTGTCATTTTTTCACTGATTAGGCCCTTAAATTCGAATGCCGTCTGAAATGCAATTTATTATGACTAGTATTAAACGCCTTTAGCCAGATTAACTGCATTCCACTTTGACTAAATTCCTCCCGTGAGTTCTTACCTTCCTAGAAAACTATGCAACATAACGTTTTAAATCTTACCGTGAATTTTCGTTGAAAAGTCAAAGCAGAATGTTGCTTAGTTTTCTGTTTAAAAAAAATAAAATTGAAAATAATTATGCAACGTCTGATGTAGTTAAGATGATTTTGGTTAATGCCTTCTCATTATTCATTCCCAGGAAATCCAATGAATAACATTTACGCTTCATCTCGAGTGGTCGAGTAACGCGAAGAAGCACCGTCTCCTGAGTGCGCCTTCAATTCTGAGTTACACAACTTTATAGACTTGATGGTTGTGGCAGCTTGCGGACTCAGTATTTGAAGGCGCTTTTTAGGCTGCCGTTTCAGTGCTGCTGCCGCCGCTATGACGGCTGTTCCTGCCTCCCGCTGCTGTGGTCAAGTGCCAAATGATAATTTTGATCATTTATAATTAGTTTGTGGTATTATTTTGTTAGTTAATATTTTTATGTCCACCGATTTCTTTTGTGTCATGTTAAATTTTTAATTTTAAGGGACATTGCCTCTCGATTTCTTTAATTCAACGTAGATTAAAACATGTATGAAAAATGAGAGTAAAAATTAAAGAGAATCCCCTGTGACTCACTTTTCAAAAAGAGGGAAGAAATAATGGCAGACAGAGAGATAAAAATACTCACAAACAAATAGAGAAAAAGAGAAGTCTCTCTTACCATATCCCTCACGAAATCCACAACCAGAGTGAAATTTGTTGGCACTTAAGTTACTATTGATATTTTTTCTACGTGACATATTCAAAAATACTCAAAAAAAAAAAAAAAAAAAAAAAAAAAAAAACAGAGAAAAAGAGTTGTCTCTCTTACCACATCCTTTACTAAATCCACAACCAGGGTGAAATCGGTTGGCATTTAGTTTGTACCATTGATATTTTTTCTCCATGACACGTTTAAAAATCCGACAACTATGGTCTTGATTGACTCAGCACGACCTTTTAGAACGATGATCGGGAGCGCTAAAATTGTGCCCAAAAATTGGTGATAATACCTACGGGAAGTGTCATGCGATGGCCGTGTGAGCTTTGCAAAGGTCGCCATCGACTGCATGATGAAATCACTCACTGGACGTGGTCTCTGCTTTGATGTGGGTTAACTCGAACCTATAATGGACCGCTAGACAAGGTGCGTATCCAAGCATTGTGATGCATGTCAAAATTTCTCCTCGTCAATCTTTCTCGTCAAAATTTCACGTAGGACACGATTTGTGCAACGAAAATTTCTATAAGTTCTTTCTAACGAAGATATTGACGTTTTCCGGTGAATAAATACCAATTTTCCGGTCAATAAAATAATAATAATAAAAAAAACATGATCCACTTGAGTTGAATCGCACACTATACGTTAATATGTGGCAACCTAAATCTAAGTGCTTCAGCTCGCTGTTGCACGTTGTTTAAAGTTCAGTTAGAACAAGTTAACCACGGAAGAAACAGGGAACACTGCTGAATTGAGATGCCTGCCAAAACCGTTATAGTGCGCGATTTGATCCACTGTGGTTTTTCTCGGGAGCGCGAAATTCATATTGTTCGTAACCGATGCTGAATATAAACGTCAATACTTTGGATTAGACGTTAATTTCAATGGTTTCAGTTGCGCAAATCGTCTTCTACGTAAAATTCTGAAGGGGAGTTGTTGGAATACTTAGATCCGCGCCTTTGTCTCGTGAACCACTGCACGAATGATGCTGACGTCACACAAAACACTTCAAAACACTATGGCCGCGTTGGTGAAGCCTTCAATTCACTCATTACTTTACTCTTTTCGTAGGATATTACTTTTTACTATTATTATTATTAACTATTTATTTATTTTTATTACTTATTTTACTATTATCTTTGCCTCCTGTGTTCAAAATTACCAGCTATCATCAAGTGAACGATACTTTTCTTCAGGTTACGTGTGGTGCAGTAGTCGTCCTCTAAGCTCTGTACTTAGATATTGGATGTGGAGAATTCATGTCCTTCCAAGCCAATAAAAAAAACGTTTTAAGTATTTTTTCACCAAAGTTTTATCCTGTCGATGGGTAAAGTTGAAAAATCCCCTATCTCTTTCAAGTTATGACCAAGGTTATTAATTTGCTGTGAGGCAGTGCGTAAAGGATTTGTAACTTAACATCTTTGAAAGTTGGGCAAGCATAGCGGCTAGGAAGGACCCTCTGTTAATCCATTCCGTAAAGAAAAATATAGTAACACTGATTGTTAGTATGTTTTTGCGCACTGCAGAGAGGCAGGGATGTCCGTAAAAGGCTCCTCTGTTAATCGTAGATTGCACATACCAGAGTACTTCTCGAGGTCAACGTTTTTGAAATTTAGATGGAGGGGGTGGGGGTGGGGGAGGGGAGGGGGGTAAAGTGGGCACCGCGCATAGGAACGCGGTCCAATATGAGGGTGGCAGAATGATTTATTCGCAATTGAAATCATCGCGGACACATTCGGTAGCGCGCGAAAGATAATTAGCAGTTGGCAATTAACTGGCAATCTATTCAAACTGACTGCAGTTTTACCTCGATCGCGCCAAAACAGAGTTCGCGCCTCAGGTTGCCAAGTCTCCATCCGAAATTTCACGTCTCGTTGCCCGTTGACTCAACTTCCTCGGAGACAACGACAATCAGAATGCTCAAAACCCGTTCAAAACTGATAAAATTATATTTTAAGAGTCTGGATAGTTTTTGCGTAGAATTGAAGTGTGGTGCCTAACTATGTAAAAAAAAAAAAAACTTTGCAAAGTACTATTTCTTGATATTTTTTTAAAAAAAAATTCAAGGGTTGCAAAACAAGATTAGAGTTGTTAAAACTTTTTGTTCTTGAATTTTACTCCTTATGAAATATCCAAAAAATATCGAAAAAGGGTTGCCTGGAGCATAAATTTTACGGAATATTTCTCAAAAGTTTTATTTTTTAACATTCTCAAGGATTTTTTTATGTATTAAAAAAATCGGTGCCACCGTGTGTCTATATTTTCCTGATTTCACAAAACTTAGAGATTCGTTCCCAGGTCTCTCTCATCTGATTGATACATTTTTGACAAAAAGTCATTATGAAAAATGTATGTAAGGTGAGGTCGGGCGCGGAAAGTTGAGGGGCTAAAGATTGGAATGAATTTTAAGTTAGTTTGACAATGACCATTTTGTCTGAGAGTAACAAGATTTTCAGGAGTTTCCTTAATATTTTTCGTCCCATCAATTCATCAAAAATA